GATGCATAGTGATGAGGCGTGTCATTTGAATTTTGTGATTTGATAATTTAATACCGTCAAACTATTTGCTGTGACTCACTGTGTTTGAGACTGACGGGCCTAAATTGTTCTGAAGACCGGTTTTGAGATTGTTTTGCGAAGCAGTATTGTGGTGAACATGGTGATTCTCCTCACTCCCGAGAGGTAGTTGTAATTTGATAAATTTAATTTGGAAATGTCTATTTTTCTGTGACATCCTGGAAAATTAATTTCCCATTTTTTTAACTTTCTTTATTTCTTTCCTTTCTTTCGTTATTATGCATTTGATTGTGCTCCCTAGGATGAAATTGCCTTTTGAATCTATTTCTCGGTTGTGAGTGAGCTCATTATGATTAAACATCTTTTCATCTTTGTTATTTTTTAAATTATAATTTATTTATAAAAATTTTATTGTCTCTGAAGGCTCAAAAATAAGTCGAAACATGTAAGCTTATTATTATTTAATAATTTTTTATAATAGATAGATTTGCTAGATATATATTGGCGTTGCGTGAAGTTATTACGCTTAACTCCTAGTGCTTTCCAAGTTAATTTTAGAAGCATTTATTCAGACAGTACTGACAGTAGGGGAGGCCGAGAGGCTAAATGTGGATTTACTCGAGCGTCGTGGGGACCTATTGGATTGTGAAGATTAGATGTTAAAAAAAAAAAAGGTTATATGATGTATGCCGTTTCAGTAGTGGGGGGAGCGTGTACAGGCTTTCAAAAATGTAAAAAAAAACAGTAACAATGAAATACTCGAGCGTGTCAGATATAGTGTAAGCGACCCATGTGTTTCTGATAACAGATAAATATTAATCTGACGGTTTGCGTGGTGGGGTTAGCTGTAGGAAGGGGTCAAAAAAAGGGGAAAAAAAATTTCCTCGAGCGCGTCAGATTTTCATAGGGGATGTTAATTGGACCCTAAAGAAGCTCCTATTCAAAAAACTGATGATTTGGACGCGACCGAGAGTCATGGCCGATTTTTGAAAATGCAAAAGAAAATCGTGACCTTGAAATACTCGAGCACGTCAGATTAAGATACAGAGGGTTCAGTTTGATGTCCTGGACGTGCTGACCCATAATCTGACGATTATGTGGAGGGATTTCATTAATCTATCGGTTTGAAAAATTCTTTTTCCATAAATCTTGTACAGACTGTACTTATGTTCGAAATCCAAAAAACGCGAACATGTTTTCGATGTATTTTTGCCTCCTGATTATGAATATGACAACAGAAATTGGCGCTCGGCCATATCGTCGCCGCTATTTTGAAAAAACATCCTAAAATCTTGATTTTTTTAAATTTTTCTGCATTTATTTTGAAAGATACAAATGTGCTGAAAAAATGGTTGAACAAAAAATGCAGAGCCACACGGAAAAAACGAAATGCTTGAATCTACTATTCAAATAATAAGATAATGTTCCAACGAACTTTTGTAGTTGATTTTACTATCCAAATAGTAGCTTCAACAAAGTAGATAGTGCAGCTTACTATGTTAATAGTAAAACCAACTAAAAAACGTTCGTTGGCGCATATCTTACTATTTAGATGGTAGATTCAACAATTTCGTTTTTTCCGTGCAGGAAATTCTGGGAAGATGCATGTATATACAAATTACATACACCGTTCTCATATTTGTGGTTGAAATCATATACATTAAGAACAAGTTAAAATAACCGATACATAAGTAACCGAGAAGTCCCTTAGTCTTCATCGTCAGTGGTAAATTCATCATCTTCATATTCAAAGATCGAATCGGTTTCGTCCTTGTCGTTTACATCTGGTACACAGTTCTCAGCCGCTGCGCGCTCCGCACTTTATTAATGATTTTGGCCACTTCGGCTTGTGTAAATCGTCAAATTATATTATTCCCGTGATCCTTGATTAATTTCCTTCAAAATAAAAAAAAATTTAACCGCGCTCGAGAAAATCCATGTCACGTTTTTTTTTTGCAACTTTGTGACTCTCCCATTTCCTTACGTCACGCTGAAATCGTCAGATTATTAAAATGTACACTTTTCTACATGTAAGTAACACACCATACCTTAATCTGACGCGCTCGAATTTTTCGAACGATCGATTTTTTTTTACTAATCTGACGTTCTCCCCTGGACCCCTGGCTCTTGTATATAGAGGTTTAATATTTGGTGGGGGTACTTATTAGGGTGCAAGCTTTCCCCCTTTATGTTATTCTGACGCGCTCGAGTAAGTCCCAAAATCCCCGCTTGGCCTCCCCTACTAGGAGGTTCAGACGGTAATAATTTTCGCAATTTTTTAAAGATAGCCGAATAAACGTTGGCGTGCTGTGATTGGAAACGCCCCGTCAACAACAACAGTATGGATCAAAATGAAAAAAATTCTCATTAAAGTTTAAGATTGGTCGAACATTTTTATTTTTTATTCGTGCTGATTGGATAATTAGTTCGTGAGAAAAAAAATCGTTAATGTAGTCATTTTTCAAGTTGTGACATTTTTTATCTCGAGAACTATTAATTTTATCAAAAAAGTCTAAGAGACAAAAAATATTCAATTTGATCCAATGAAGCTTACAGAATTTTTTCAAAATTTTTGTTCAAAGTTTAGATTTTTTAAACATAAAATTGTAACTTTGACCACAACAAATAAAGTGTGTATAAATGCTTTTTGACAGAATAATGAAGAATCGAATCCAATTATTTTCAGTTGCTAAAATATCTGATTGTGAGTATGATAAGAAACTTGTATTCCATCTCTTTTTGTTAGGCGTAACAAAGAGTGCCTCCCAACAAGCGACACAGATGACACGGTGTGACACAGTGTATCAGTACTTACATCCTTGCTATTTATCAATAAAGATGAGGTATTCACTTTGTTTTACTATGTTGCTTGTTGGAGGGCACCCTTTGTTACGTCCTGATCTAAAATGACATTGGATGTAGAGAACGACATTACAGCCGTGTATTGATGTATACTGTCAGTACTGAGGATTTGTAACTTATTACATCTATTTTCCAATATATTAGCAATATATATCAATAGACAATCATAGTAAGTACCTTTCCCTGCTGCTAATGCCACATTTTAGACCTACTTCACTTCTTTATATTACATCTAATAAAAAGAGAAATTTTTCCTGCTAAAATACAATATATAAAAATGTTAGTAATATATGTACTTATATATACAATATTACAATAGAATATTGTATGTGTGTATTATGATGTGTAAATATACACACAAATAAGAATTATTTATACTGTGTGTGAGATATTCATGCAGATATTCCCTGTGTTTATTTATACGCAATTACAATTAAATTTCGTGTGTGTGCGTGTGTGTTGCGTGTGCGCGCGCGCACATACTCACAATATATATATTACACATGAAATTTTAATATTGCGCGTTCAATAAACGTAGGAAATATTTGCATAAATATATATCAGCATAAATAACTTTTATTTCTAACGAGTGTGAATATACAATTATATTCAAACAATATACTCATAAATGCAATATTATAATCAACATGAAAAGTATAAAGGACTAATTTAAAAACAAATAATAAGTAAAGAGCAAATAAGAGCCAAATTTATCTCATTTGAGAAATCAAAGAATTATAATTGTATAAAGAAATTTTTGAAAATACATTACAATAAATTACAATAAAATACAAAAAGATATTCAATATCATAGCCCCATATCATAGCATTACATATGTTTCGGTCTCTGTATTGGACCCTCTTCAGATAATCAAAGTTAATATGAAATCCATTATTGTATAAATTGTATCATAAATAAATTGATCTTATTTACATTGTTATAATATTGCACCAAGCGAGAGCACATCAGAACCTCCAATTCTGTTAACAAAACGGTTTATCAGCCGATTGATTAAAATTTTACACATCTGATTATGCTGAAATGTATTTATAAGTTTGAAAAATATATTATCTAATTTGCTAACGACAATGAATCCAGATATTACTCACCACTATAGTACATGGTTTTGTCTTCATAGTCAAAAATTGTCATAAACCTCCATAGTAGTTATATGTATATACATTACTGATATAGTTTGTTATAACTGTCAGAAGCATCTGTTTTAACGGTACTGGTACATGCAATAAATATCAGAGACGTCTAATAAGACGATACTGATTAAAACAATTATCAAAAGCGTCTATTCTGTCTAATGGCAAAATAAATCCGTTTATTTGATGGTAGTGATTTGTATTGTCACATGCATGTATATAGTGATTTGTTATAAATGTCAGAAGCATTTATTTTGATGATACTGTCTATGCCAGCTCTACAAGTATAGAGAGTGATGCACAGGGTGTTACGAAATTTTTTACAAAGCACTCTTATGTAGATAAAGCGGACTAAACTGATTGTGAGTAGAAAAGTCTTCTGTCATTGTGCAATTATCGCAGTGAAATGAGGTATTAATTTATAATGATATCTCCGCCGAATACGCACGTCTGTTTGGCTTACTACTGCCAAAGTGTACGCCCATTGATATCTCGCGCGGCCCGCAGAAAGTGGAGAATTAGGAATAGCATGGCTATTGAGGAAATTATTCTGTTGGTAATCTCATCATCTTATGTTAAAACTAACTATATTCTTTATACTTAGTATTTATGTTTAAGTTCCTTTTTTAGGTTGGCACACCTTATTGCGCGCGCTATGCTGTTATATTATATCATACCGTTACACTTTGTATCTTTCGAGAGACGAGAGTTTTTGTTCCTACTATATGGAAATATATTGTGCTTTATATCTAAAGAGACTGCACCAGATTGTGTATTAATTCTCCTGTCAACTATTAAGCTCGAAATACTTCAGGTTATGGGCCCAGACGCGATCCGCCCGTAGTGAGAGCAGCTAACGAAAAATCGTGTAAACAGTGAGGTTAAGTTCTCACACTGTTGAAGGAGAATTTTATTTTCTTTGAGAAAACTCTTGGTGAGTCACAAGTTTGTCTCTGCCTCGTTCCATGATGACGACCGCAGGAAACACAAGTATGACAAGCACTATCTCTCAAGCAACTTTAACCTTGCGTACATCCTCGGTTACAGTCGGTGGCAGATTGCCACAAATAGACAAATTGGATGGAGTTGCAACATATAATAATTGGAAGTTTGCGATGAAAATGTATTTGATACATGGAACTGTATTGTTGGATCCGATGTAAATGCTGAGCAAGATCAACGTGCCCTTGCAAAAATTTGTTTAAGTATTAAACCTGCATCATATGCTCACGTATGTACGGCAGCTACTGCTAAAGAAGCATGGAGAAATCTTCAAACTGTATATGAAGATAAAGGTTTAAACAGACGTCTTGGTTTACTTACATCTATGTTCAACTTGAGGTTAGAAGATTATACATGCACGGAACAATACATTATTGAAGCCATGTCTTTGGCTCAAAAACTGGCAGATATTGAGAAGCCTGTAGACGATGAATTCTTAGCCATCGTTTTGCTACACGGATTGCCATCTACTCCCAGATTCGAAACTATGAAATCAGGACTGCAAGCTACTCACGATGTATTGAATTCCGAAATAGTAAAAGCACGTTTACTTCAAGATGTTGCAGGAAGAGAGGATGTAACAAAAGGAGAATCCTATTGGCAGTAGGTCGCAAAATACAGTCATCACAAAATGATAGAAAATTAGTTTGCTACAACTGTAAGAAAGAAGGTCATATTAGACCAAAATGTCCAAAACTCAAACAGAAGGTAAAAGAACGCAAACACAGTAAAGATGCCAGAAAAACTGATGAAGTCAAGGAAGATTCATCGAAATTAGAAGAAAAAGGAAAGAATACCTTATTGATCTCTGGAATGACAGCTTTATTAGCAAAGGATTTTAAGTCAGATGATTGGTTCATAGATATTGGAGCCACAACTCATATGACACATCGGAACGACTGGTTAGAAGATTCGGAATTTATTAAAATGACGGAAATCGCTATCGCTGACAGTTCGACTTGCAAAAGTAATAAGGTTGGTCAAGTAAAGGTTAATCTAACACATGGAAAGTCATGTTTCGTAAGTAATCCAATGTATGTGCCACAACTTTCTACAAATTTATTATCCGTTAATAAAATAACAGAAAAAGGTCTAACAGTTGTGTTTGATTCAGAAAGTTGCAAGGTATATGATACCACAAAATGTACTCTAAATGGAAAGCCGGAAATTTCAGCTGCCAAAATTGGCGGATTGTATCGTCTAGACCAAGAGCGATCAGCAGTACAAGTAGCAACGTTATCTACTGAAAAATTAGCAAAGAAGGAAGCAATAATGACAGCTTCGTCAGAAGATTTAGAGCTATGGCATAGACGACTTGGTCTCCATTATAAATACATGGTAGCATTGAAGGATGGCTTAGCACCTGGCATATCTTTTACAAATTCACAGAAAGGGGACTGGAATTGCGTTGCTTGTTTAGAAGGAAAGCAATGCCGAAAATCTTTTAAGAAATGATCGTTCCAAAGGACTACGAAGAAACAAGAGGTTATTTACACAGATTTGTGTGGTCCTATGAGTGTACCTACTTTCTCAGGAGCTCGTTATCTACTAACTTTTACGGATGACTTCACACGGCAGACATTTGGTTATCTTTTAAAAACGAAGGACGAAGTGCCAGAAGTTTTTAAAGAATTTATGATTTTTGCAGAAAAAGAATCAGGCGAAAAGATAAAGATTCTAAGATGGAGGAACTGAATTCTGCAATCGACGAATGGACAATATCCTGAGAGAAAATGGAATTAAGAGATACAAAACTGTCAGATATACTCCTGAACAAAACTCAATTTCGAATCGTATGAACAGAACGATCGTTGAAAAGACAAGATGTTTACTACAAGATTCTAAGCTGGATAAAAGATTTTGGGATGAAGCAGTGCTCACGGCCATATACCTCCGAAATAGATGTCCGACAAGAGCTCTTCGAGGCGTGACGTCACAGGAAGCCTGGAGCGGAAAAAGGGTTGATATTAGTCATCTCAAGGTTTTTGGATGCAAAGTCTATGTGCATATTCCAAAGGAATTGCGAACGAAGCTAGATTCAAAGTCGAAGGAGCACATCATGCTAGGTTATTGTAAAGATGGCAACTGCTATCGTTTATATAATCCTGAAACAAAACAGATAGTAAGGGGGCGTGATGTTGTTTTCTTTGAGAATATTCTAGGAATAAATAAAACTATCACAAAAACAGAGGATGAACAAACAGTGTAAGGGTAGATTAAATTATTATTCTACCAGAATCAGAGGACCGTGAGGTACAAGAAAATACTGAAAAAGTAAAAACTCAAGAAGTTGAAGACGCTGAAGAGGAAGAAGAGTTCCACGAAGCGGAAGAAATATTTAAACCAGAAAGAAGATATCCTCTGAGAATCAGACAATCGCCAAAAAGATATGCAGATGAAGAAGAGTTCTATTCGTGCGTTGCAAGCGAGAATAATATGCAAGATCCGATGACTAGATCAGAAACTTCAAACAGTAATAACTCAAGCAGATGGAAGTCTGTGATGGAAGAGGAAATCAAGTTACTTCAGGGCCATCTGGATATTAGTAGATCCTCCGGCAGATAAAAACGTGATCGAATGCAAGTGGGTTTTTAAAACCAAAAGAGGTATTAGTCACACACAAAAGAAGTATAAGACTCGTTTGGTAGCAAAGAGGTACACCCAAGTTCATGGTGTTGACTACGAAGAAACCTTCGCACCAGTTGTAAGACATTCGATCATACGCATGCTTATTGGATTAGCTGCAGTAAAGAAGCTGGATATACATCATTGGGATATTACTACTGCTTTTCTGAACGGAAGATTTCATGAAGAAATTTATATGCAGCAGCCGGAAGGATACGTTGAAAAGGGGAAAGAACAGAAAGTATATCGTCTTAAGAAAGCGATATACGGGTTGAAACAAACATCTAGGACTTGGAATGAAGAAATAGATAAGAACATGAAAGAATTAGGCTTTTAGAGAAGCAAATTAGAGCTGTGCATTTATTATAAGATAAATAAAAATTCAATTATTATTAGTGCACTTTATGTGGATGATTTTATCTATTTTTTTAATGATCCAGAAGAATTAAAGAAGATAAAAGATGCACTAAGTGTGAAATATAAAATAAAAGATCTTGGAGAAGCAAAAGAATGCTTAGGAGTAAGGATCACTAGAGATCGCGAGGCTAATACTATTAAAATTGATCAAGAGGAATTCATTGAACGAATGTTAAAGAGATTCAACATGACTGAATGCAAGCCGGTGGGAACCCGATGGAACCCAAAAAGAAATTAATAAAGCCTCAAAATGATAAGAAGAACAAGAGCCTAACAGTGCCATATCAAAACTTAATCGGATCTCTAATGTATCTAGCGACATGGACTAGACCAGATATCGCACATGCAGCTAGTGTACTTACAATTAGTCAGTTTAATATGTGCTTTACGGAGGAGCATTGGCAAGCAGCAAAGAGAGTCTTACGATATCTAAAAGGGACAAGCAAGGCATGTCTCACATATAAACAGTTAGATACAATCACTGGATACATTGATACCGACTGGACAGGAGATGAGAGTGATCGGAGATCGTACACAGGATATGTGTTCACACTAGGGGATGCAGCAATCAGCTGGGAGTCCAAAAAGCAACCAACAGTTGCATTGTCCACATCGGAAGCCGAGTATATGGACTTGACGGAAGGAGCGAAAGAAGCAGTTCACAGAAGAAATATTTTATTTGAACTATTCAATAAAAATGTGACTATTAAAATATATACAGATAATCAGAGTGCCATGAAACTTGTATTAAATCCGATTTTTTAAGGTAGAACGAAACACATAAGTGTGGGGCACCATTTTATTCGAGAACTGTATAGTCAGGGACAGATAAATTTAAATTATATATCCACAGATTCTATGGGTGCGTTCCGAGTTACGCATGAAGCGCGTAGACTGCATAGAAAGTCGTTCCGAGTTAACTATTGCGCGCTTCGAAAGCACTTCGAGAGTACTTGAATTCCCCAGATTGTACTAACCGTACTGAATTCATAGCATTCCACTCAGTGCATTGACTGCTTCTCTTTCGACTTGAGGCAGTTGATGCGTCTGATGCATTCATGCGGTCTATGCGCATGATTTATAATTCGGAACGAGCAACGAGTACCGGACAACACAACAGTGAACGGACGAATATTTGCGATGGAACAGCGATTACAGCAATTGCATGAATTCCCGGTCTTATTAGAGGATAAAAATGAAGTATTAATTTTATTTTTAAATGAAGAGGATATGGCGAAAGCAAGTCAAGATAAAATTAATGGCAATATTTTACCTTGATTTACTTAATGTATAAAGTTAGACGTTATATTAATTAGAAATTACCAAGCCAAGGTAAAATTAATAGCATTATTATACCTTGATTTATTTAATGTATAGATTAGACGTTATATTGATTAGGAATTACGCGATCGACGTAATATATAAAAATTCTAATCTTTAAAAACCTACGTGGTATTATCCCTATTATTTAATTAAATCAATGACATGTATCATTTGTATAAAAGATTTGATATCAATAGTCGGCGCCAAGTTATTCTACCTTATTACTTACTTAATTTTAATGACATTTATCATTTGTATACAAGATTTGATATCAACAGTCGGCGCCAAGTTAAATTCTACCAAATTAAAAAGTAAAACACAAGTGGTACCTTTAATCTTTAAGAACCCATATAGTATTATTTAAATTCCACTAAATTAAAAAGTAAAACCTAAATGGAATTATCTTTATCTTCATACAATGAAACCTAAGTATATGCCTTTGTATTCTTATTAAAAGATCTTCCTATTCGAAACCAAGTGATTTAATTCTTCTTTAAAAAAATGAGATCACAATTAATTTAAAAACAAAATGAAAAAGATTTATTTAAATAGAAAAATTTTTTATGTAAAAACACTTCGCGCTGCTAGAGCGAATAAGAAAAACAATGAAAACTATCTAAAAGCTATAATAATAAATACAAATATATGTAAGGGTAATGATAATTTAAAAATTATAGTAAACATATTCTGAATGCTACATTTAATAAGTACAGCTTACTTTTCCTTTTTTAAGTATTTCACTCGCATATACTGTACGCGAATATACATACAGACTGCATACTTTAACTCTCATAGTTTCTAATCTCTTTTATACAAAATGTTACATCCATATATAAATTTATTATGACCTTATTATATTGGGATTGAGATACAATTCACTCGCACATACATATACACGAATATATGCACACTAAATACTTTAATTCTCGTGAAAATGTTTCTTATCTTTATTATTGTATTTTATTACATCGAGATCGAGAACTAGCAGCGCGAAGTGTTTTTACATAAAAAATTTTTCTATTTAAATAAATTTTTTTCATTTTTTTTTTAAATTAAGTGTGATATAATTTTTTTAAAGAAGAATTAAATCACTTGGTTTCGAATAGGCTAATCTTTTAATAAGAATACAAATGCATATACTTAGGTTTCATTGTATGAAGATAAAGATAATTCCACTTAGGTTTTACTCTTTAATTTAGTGGAATTTAAATAATAGTACTATATGGGTTCTTAAAAATAAAAGGTACCACTTGTGTTTTACTTTTTAATTTGGTAGAATTTAATTTGGCTCCGACTGTTGATATCAAATCTTGTATACAAATGATAAATGTCATTAAAATTAAGTAAATAATAAGGTAGAATAACTTGGCGCCGACTATTGATATCAAATCTTTTATACAAATGATACATGTC